GCAGGAAAATAGGTAATTTCAACTCTTATTGGTTTAATTTATAATGTGCCTCTCTTCATCCCTCGTGTGAATCAATTTAAGCGAATGGGATGAATTTGGCCCAAGAGCTGTAACTCTTTGGTTTATGAAGGGCACTGTTGAATTGCACAAGGCTAGTCTGGTTCATGAAATGCCAAGCACTCCAAGAGATGGGAGAGGGGAATGAATGGGGATCCTTTTAAAACACTGTCCAATGAGATTTGAAAAAGAGATGGATCAGCTCCTTAGCAGGTATAAATCGCAGTACCATTGACGCTATGCACTGAAACCAATGGAGCTACTCTGCTTGACACTAGCTGAGGTTCTGGATAGTGTGTGAAAAAAACAGGACAGGAGGGGCCCACACAAGTCTCATGTTTTGGGGGTGGAAAAGCGAGTAGTGGCCGGGGGTGAAAGAATTAGCATTGACGTGGCTTGGCTGCAGCCCAGCCTACTTTGTGCAGCATAGCAATGTTAGAACAGGACAGCGTGGGTATGTCTACATGGCCGCGGGGGAAGTATGACGTGCGAGTGCCTAAAAATAGAAGCTGGCTCAGACTAGACACCCAAGTGTCACTTAAGCTAGCGCAATGAGGGGCAAGCGAGGTTACTGAGGGGGCTGCATGAGGGGCCCTCCTTCATTTCAGTGGGCCACAAGACTGTCGTAACCAAGACGGTCTCCTGGAATAGGGCTGTGATGCTCACTCCGCTTGCATAGCTCGAATTTGCAGGGGGTGCCGATTGCACTGTAGTGGCACCGTGATCAGATGCAGCGGAAGTGCACAGCTCTTGACGTCAGTGCTGTGTGCAGTCGGCATGCACCTCAGTTCACATGCCCTGGCTGTGATAGGTAAAAACTACGCAGATGGAAATCAGAACAACCTGCCAACCCTGTACATGAACAACAGGAAACAAAATGTCTCACGGGCCACACACAGAACTGCACGCAGCCCATGGGTTGCCCATCACTGGGCCAGCACATGCAGAGCTAGTGAGTTCATGGCTACCCAAGCTGAGAATTGTACCGATGCAGAGGCATCCCATGTTGTTATCACATGCATACTAAGAAAGCTAAAATCCCGCCAGCCTTATTCACATGAGCGGACCCACTGAAGTCAACAGGGTCCGTTGCACAAGTGAGACAAGAAGAATCTGGTCTATAATTAATATTTTTGTAGCAAAAATGAATAAATGAAAAACTCCAGAAAGTTTTGCATCAGAAATGTGGAAATGGAAAATTCTGACCCGTTTGATCAACATGAAACAAGCCAACAGGTTGATGTTTCATTGTTTGTGTTTCAAAACAATTTTTTTTCTTTTGAATAAACAATTTTAAACAAACAAAAAATGCCACTGCATCTTGAAATGCTGATTTGAAAATGTTTTGTTTCACTTCTCCCCATTGAAAGTTAGGACATTTTCACCAAAATCAGCCTTTGATTTTGATTAAGTGACATTTTCCAGTGAGAAACATTTTCATACCAAAGCCATTGGCAAGTGTTAAATATAATACTTGCTCCGAACTGCCCTATTGCTTAATCTGATAATGTATTTGTGTAGATTGAGATTCAGAAGCACAGCGAACCTTTCACCGCAAGATATCTGAGCCCAAATCTGCTTCAGATCACAATTTGGCAGCTTCAGTCATTTTTCACTTTCTCACTCGTTTGCTCAGCTCAGAAATAAAATAGCCCACTCACCTCTTACGTTACATAATATAAATTAGTACTTCTGCTCAGGAGTGACCCTGATGGGGGAGACAGGAGGTGCTCCAGAAGTGGGCAATAGTTCAGAGTTGGTTCCCTGGTTACATCTAGACTGCAAGCCTCTTTCAAAAGAAACTTTTTTGAAAGATACTTTCGAAAAAGAGCATCTAAACTACAAAAGTGAGCCGCTTTTTCGAAAGAGAGCACCCAGGCATTCTGGATGCTCTTTTCTGAAATAGCACATTTTGCATTCCATAGCGCCTTTTTTCGAAAGAGCACTTTTGAAAAAAGGCGGTCTTCCTCGTAAAACGAGGCTTTTCACGGTCGAGAAAACCGCCACGTTCTTTTGATTTACTTTTGAAAGAATGCGGCAGCAGTCTAGAAGCAGAGGAAGTTTTTTTTTTTTTTAAAAAGCCACTTTTTTTTAAAAAACCTTGTAATCCAGACACACCCCCTGTGTGGAAGTCCCAGAAGTGGAATAACAGAGGATGCTGAGATGTGGATTCAGGGGCACTGGCAGCTCTGGATGTCGGGGGCATACAGGCCCAGCCAAAGAGTTTGCGGGGCGCAAGGCAGCATGCAGTATGACAACCGCGCAGCTCCCAGTCAGGGCAGCAAGTGAGTGACCAGGTGGGCAGGACCAGGAGCTGGGCAGCATGGTACCCTGAATGCACAGGGCCCAAGGCAACCGCTTCACTCACTTGCCCAAAGGCCAAGCCTGGATACACAGGACTGAAATAGTGTGTGTGTGTGTGTGTGTGTCGGGGGGCTGACTTTCTCAAACCAATACTGTTATTTTTTTGTTACATTTATAAGTGCTGGGCACTTCTAGGAGGGACCAATTTTCCTTGTAGTTCAGTGGCTTGTCATTCTGTAATGCCCTGTGCTATGTAGGGTTGCCAGGTGTCTGGTTTTGAACCGGACAGTCCAGTGTTCAAGCTTTCTGTTCAGGAAACAAATTGAGAAAATATAAATGAAATAGAAAATAGAAATGTCCGGTATTGTCTAAATACGATGTCATGTAGATTGGGATGTCATGTCAAGTGTGTCTGGAATTTTTGTTGAAACCATCTGGCAACCCTATGTGCTCCACTGGCAGGCAGAAATGGCAAAAATAATAAAATCTCAAATGACTGGCTTCTTGTGCGTTACTTTACTGGAATAGGAAGGATTTTTTTAAATTGTTTTGGATTCTCCCTGCTGAGTGGCCAGCCCTGATAGCCCTTGTCGTGTTTTCCCTCCTGTAGCAGAAGTAGTGAGCAAATCTGACTTTCTCTTTCAGACAACCATGCCTGTAGCAAGCAGGCGAGTAGCACCCCTTTCCCAAAACCAGAACAGCCCAACACGTCCCCCGCAGGAAAGGAGGCTTTGCGAAGGCCAGCCGTCCAGGGTAAGATTGCACCTTTGGGGGTCTCGGCTCGGTGAGCTCAGCTGCAGTCCGCAAATCTGTGCTTGCACCAGCTGCAAATGGGCGCAGCTTCATGCATTGCAGTGGCCCAACACCAGCTGACTCTCTGACATGAGGTACTTGTCCCTGCTGACAGCAACGCTGTAAGCTGAGTGCTCGGGCAGCCACCCAAGAGAGATCTAAAGGCCGCCCAGCTGATTAGTAGAGTGCCCACGGCCGGCAGCATGTGTTTCGCTTGGTGGTACACTTCTTCCGTGCACATAACAAAATGTATGCTGCACATGGGTGGAAAAAAAATCAGTGGGAACCTCGGCCGACAGGTATTTATAAACATAGGACTAGATTCACCCCTGTGTCTCACCTTGTGTGGATACTTAACACTGACGCTAAGGGAGAATAGCATGTTACGCCTCTGGAATGGGAGTGTGTTACACATGGTTTGCACCTTTTTTTTTGCAAATGCTATCAGGTGTGGCTCCTGCCTTCATATTTCAGTGTTTGGGCAGGGGAGGGGGAACGGTTTATTCATTACGCGATAATGTATTCGTCACACAATCACGTCTTCCTTCACTAGCTTTGAAAAGGCTTCTCTACCCGCCTGAGTCAGTGCAAGGGACTGAGTACAGAGCAAAGACCTGTACATGTGAGCTATGGGCATTAGCAATTCAAGTCATCTGCTGCCCCCCATTCCATTTCGCCAGATAACTGCTCCCTGCCCATTCTCCACCTTTTAGAGTGCTTAGAGACACACATGCTGTCATCTTTTTTCTAAGGTGACAGCGACAGTTCCTCAGACAGCGCCGAGAGCTCAGACAGCAGCCCTTCCTCGAGACAGGTAATGGAACTGCACCACCCTCGTTATTTATTCATTTATCTATTTATTTAAATGTAGACCTAATGGGTCCCCCTGAATCAGGGTGAAGCCCCATTGTGGTAGATCCTGCTTTCCATTTACATGAGACTAGATTCCCCTAAGGCTGAGCAGCCCCCCTGAAAATTCTCCCTCTTGTTTGGTGCATAAAGAGGAGCCAAACTCTTGTGGGAATCTGGCCTATCGCAAGAGACAATCCCTGCCCTGCAAGACGTCGGCCTAACTCTCAGCTTCTGCACCATTCAGCAGACAACCAAGGGAAAGGGTGCGGGCATCAGAGAAGAGAGTGGGAACTTTGCCAAGGGTGCAGCTGGCCAGGTCAGATGACACACTTGAATTTTTCTCCTGGTCCTACTCATTGATGATGACCTCTCCGGGTTCGCCCTATAGGACACAGGCTCTCAGACAGTGACGCTTGGGCTGTCTGTTGTCTGCAGAGCACTCCCTGGTCAGAGGGAGGAAACACATGAGAAAGAGTCAAAGCATCCTGGGGAGGGGAGGGTGCCAAAAAGAGCAGACAGATAGCCTGAATGATCCAGGACCTCAGGATACATGTGTGTATGTGAGTGTTCATGTGTGTGTGTGTGTGTGTGTGTGTGAGAGAGAGAGAGAGAGAGGCTGAAAGATAACACAGAGTGTTCATGATCTCTGTGCCTCTGGGCTGTTGGCAGCTGTTGCTGCTGATCCAAAATCCCAAGCAAAGTCACTTCAATATCTTACTAAACTAGCCAGCAAAATGACTTAAGATTTGAATGGGAGTTGTTCTCTGTGCTGTGCAAACACCTCTGCTTATAGTGGAATGGACACACGGGTAGGATTTGTGCAGTGAGCTTAGCCTTAGAGAGTATATTAAGTATTATGACCCGTCTAGTATTGCTTGCCAGTATGGCTGAATCAAAACCGACAATGCCCATGAAAGCTAGACTGAATTCTGGTCTGATTCTGATTTCTCATTTGCTAGTGTCCTCGGTCCGAACAGGAAATCGATTACACATCCCTCGTCTTCCAAGCTGCAGGTCACAGCGCAAGCAACACAGGGGACTATGAGAACATGAAGACGGGAGCAGACTATGTCAATGTGGATCCCAAAAAAAGGACGGTGGATTTCTGGCCTTGCTTGAGCCCTGTAGCTTCCGCACCGATAGAATATACCGAAGTGAAATTGTGATTTATGGAGATGCTATTGACCAAGTTTTCCGCAGGAACATCACAATTGCCACAGCAGGTCAAATAAGTGAGCCTTTGGTAGTCAGAATCCTGTCTCTGCACATTGATCCCTGCCAAGCTGTTCATATAGGTATGTTCCTCCTAATCCTCGTCAATTAGCCACTGCCATGTCCCAAAGCATGACATTTTATATTCCTTTTGACATTTTATTCTGCCTAATGTAACTGTGCATGTTCTTGTTGTCCATACAACGCTCTCTCCCTTTCTTAGTCCTACAAAGCTCTCAACTGTGTTGATACAATGGTTAGTCACAGCTTGTGTAAAAACAGCATTTTCTTGTCTCTCAGACAATCGTGCCCTTCCATTTCATTGACTTCTCCTTGTTTTCATGTTAAAGGAGAGAGTAATTCAGAACACCCAATACATATAATACAGGCCAAATCCACAGCTGGTGCAAAACCTAATTCTGCTTCAATGGGGCTATGATAACTGCCCTGGCCCTTTGACTTGACTTCTGTTTTATTTGCTTGATATCAAATGAATTTAAAATACCCACCTTTTAAAATGCATAAATATATTTTCTGGGCCTCCTTTGTCTTTTCCCTTGACCAATACTGACTTTTTTTCACTGTTCCTCTCTGATTCTATTTTATTTTTTAAATTCTTGACAGTGCTTGAGTGACCGTTCTGAGCGCATGTCTGCCAGCAGTCAAATCCAGCCAAGAGGCAGGGGCTCTCTTTGCTGAGGATGATTTGCCTGTGACAGGCTTTAGTAAGCCCTGTCACATTCCTCAGGGTACACAGGGCTGCAGGGCACCTCTCCACCATCTGTCTAGGATGTGAGGAAGTCTTTTCTGTGCCAGCTGAGAAGCAGCTCCCTGCAACCACCAGTTTGCAGCAGTACAGGTGCTACCTTCTAAGCCCCCACAGGCCTCGCGGTCTCTGACCAGGTAGCAATAGGCACACACCAGCCCAAGCATCCTCAGGCCATGTCTTCACTCTGGGGAAGATTGACATCACCGCAATCAATCTTCCAGAGTTTGATTTAGCAGGTCTAGTAAAGACTTGCTAAATCAAACTCAGAGGGTACCCCCGAGTGGTGGCCTTTACTCCTGCTTCTGCGAGAAGTAAGGGAAGCCACCAGGAGCATTTGCTTTCGTCAGCCTCCCACTGTGGGGATGGCAGGAAAACTTCAAAACAAGGTACGTGGACTCTAGTTATATAATTTACGTAGCTGGAGTTGCGTATCTTAATTTGACCTTCCCCATTAGTGTAGACCTGGCATAAGAGTGTCTCTGCAGCATCCACCCACAGAGCAAAAAGGCCTGCTGGTACCAACAGAGCCACGCACACTGATTTCTAAGACTTGAGTGAAGTGGTGATCCTCAGTTAACATGACAGCACAAAGGTGCTGTGATGGTGAAAACAAGAATAAGCTGATGAACAGAGAACAGAGATTCACATGACCGTGGCTCAGATTTTTTTGGAAACAAATGATTATGTATAAAACAAAATTGTAACATGCCTAGATGCTGACCTTAAGGCCTTGTCTATACTGGCAAATTTCACCCTTTCCACGTGAGCAGACCCAATCCCAGTATCTGGCGACTAACTTGGGGAAGAGAGTTTCACTTAAAATAAACTTTAAAACTCAAGATGCAGCCTGAGACCGGAAGGGTTTTAAGTTTAGTCCTGCGCTATTTGTCTTGCAATAATGTGCTGGCCTTCTCACTCAATGAAAATGAAATTCCACCTACATTTTCCGTGAGCCTTTCCCTAATCCAGTCCCAAAATGCCACCTCAGTCACCACTGCCATTTCCAGCCTGCAGCTTTGAATCCCAGCCTGCCTTGCAATTCCCTTTCAGAGTAGCGGGCCCTGATGCTGAAATGTCAGGTGTAATGTCAGAGCCAGAATTTAATAACACGCTTGACAGTCCGTGGGCACAAGATGCATTTGAACACACAGAATCACATCACACGGTTTCCCTGTAGGCAGAGCCGTCTTTACCCAGACATAGAATACACAGCTGCATAGGGCACCCAAAGATTTGGGGCACTGCTGGGTCTTAAT